GCAGCAGCAGCAGCAGCAGCAGCAGCAGCAGCAGCAGCAGCAGCAGCAGCAGCAGCAGCACCTTGTCGTAGTTGATGACGTTGCCCTTGTCAGTCTTCACAGTCATCGCGTCAGCGTCAACAGCCTCGACTGTCTCTCCCAGCCGCAGCTCCACCTTCAGAGTGTCCGTTAAGAAGTCCACAGGCCGCAGCAAGACTGCAGCAGCAGCAGCAGCAGCAGCAGCAGCGGCAGCGGCAGCGGCAGTGACGGCAGCAGCAGAACTCGGTGCCAACGCAGAAGAGTCCAATGTGGACAGCTTGCGCCACATATGCAGCGCCCCAGCTAGCCCTCTAGCTAGCTAAGTATAGCTAGCTAGCCAGCTAGCCAGCTAGCTAGCTAGCTAGGTAGCTATATACTTAGCTAGCTATATATACAGCTAGCTAGCTGATGAACCCCTCTGCCCAGCTAGCTTCCAAGATAGATAGCTAGCTAGCTACATAAGAGCTAGCTAGCTAGCTAGATAAGAGCTAGCTAGCTAGCTGGCTGGCTAGCTAGCTGGCTAGCTAGCTAGCTAGCTGCTGCAACTGCGACTGACTGTTGTTGGGCTCGCATTTCAAATTCTTGCTCAGCATGACCCGGTCGTAAGGGGGGACGTTTTCTCTAGATATCATCACCAGCCGGCCTGCAGCAGCAGCAGCAGCAGCAGCAGCAGCAGCAGCAGCACAGCAGCAGCAATGACAGCAGCAGCAGCAGCAGCAAAGACAGCAGCAGCAACAGTAAGTGCCACAGCAGCAGTTCTAAGTCTCAAAAGAGGGAATGCAATAGGGCCTAGAGTTTAGAGCTCGGAGTCACTCCAGGACTCAGAATCTAGGGTTTAGGGTTTAGGGTTTAGGGTTTAGGGTTTAGGCAGCATACCTTCAAACCCTTGAGCTCGCAGCTCTTCAACAGCAGCAGAAGCTGCGGGGCCGCCGCCCACAACGACGAACGTCTTGTCTTTAAAAGCCTGAAGTGACAGGGAGACAAAGCACCAAAGGCAGTGCTGCTGCTGCTGCTGCTGCTGCTGCTGCTGCTGCTGCTGCTGTCTACGCTGCCGGCGGTGTCGCTGCAGCCGTGCAGCAAAACCTCTTGCAAGTTCTTGTCTGCTCCTGCAGCTGCAGCCGCAGCTGGTCCTGCTTCAGCAGCAGCCGCTGTTGCTGCCGTTTCTGCTGCTGCTGCCGCTGCTGCTGCTGCTGCTGCTGCTGCTGCTGCTGCTGCTGCTTACAGTTTCTCGCCTCCTGCAGCAACTGATGCTGTGCTCGTGTTCTTCGAGACGCTCCGGCAAGGAAGCAAAGAGAGAAGAGCCTTTCACCTGCACGGGGTAGGTCTGAATTCCCTGGGTCACAGGCCCTGAGCAGCAGCAGCAGCAGCAGCAGCAGCAGCAGCAGCAGCAGCAGCAGCAGCAGCAGCAGCAGCAGCAGCGGCAGCAGCAGCATGAACTGAAGTGAGTAAAGAAAGGAGGCGAAATAAACGCAAATTGAACACAGAAGAGCCCTGTGGGGCCGCACAGGCAGCCAGCTGCTCCCAATGAGTTAAACGATCCCCAAAAGGCGATCCCAAAAAGACGATCCCAGAAAAGCGATCCCAGAAAAGCGATCCCAGAAAAGCGATCCCAGAAAAGCGATCCCAGAGAAACTGACCTGCAATGCACTTTCCTGTCTTCAAGTCGAACTTGGCGTCGTGCCAGGGACAAGTGACGTGGTCAGCTGTCGCCACACCTGAGAGCAGCAGCAGCAGCAGCAGCAGCAGCAGCTAGCTGCAGCAGCAGCAGCAGCTAGCTGCAGCAGCGGCGGCAGCAGCAGCACGGCGCTGCTGCATACTCAACTGCTGCGGCCCAGTTAGCTAGCCAGCTAGCTGGCGACGCCCACGCCGTCGTGGCTAGCTAACTTCCCAGCTAGTTAGCTAGCTAGCTAGCCATTTAGCTAGCTAGCTGGTTAGCTAGTTAAGAAAAAAGCTGGATAGCTAGCTAGCTGCCTGGCCATTTAGCTAGCTAGCTAGCTAGTTTGTCAGCTACTTAGATAGCTAGCTACACAGCTAGTTAGTTAGTTACTCAGTCAGCCAGCAAGCTAGATAGCCAGCTAGCAAGCTGGCTAGTTGGCTAGCTAGCTAGCTAGCCAGCAAGCTAGCCAGCTAGCTAGTTAGCTAGCCGGCTAGCTAGCTAGTTAGCTAGCTAGCTAGTTAGCTTGCTAGCTACCTAGTTAGTTAGTTAGCTAGCTAGCTAGCTACTTAGCTAGCTAGCTAGCTAGCTAGCTAGCTAGCTAGCTAGCTAGTGCTGCTCACCTTTGGCCAAGGGGGCTCCGTAGTGAGGGCACGAAGAGGAAGTGCAGTAGAAGGCGCCGTCCACATGAGCCACCAGCACTTTGTCCTTACCTGCAGCAGCAGCAGCAGCAGCAGCAGCAGCAGCAGCAGCGCAGCTCAAATGTTCTAGCAGCAGCAGAAGCTGCGAGAGCGGCACTGAGGCCCTCAAGGGGAACAGACCGCTACGGCTCTACGGAGTAGGTTTCCCCCATGTGCTGCTGCTGCTGCTGCCTCTGCTGCTGGTGCTTCCGCTGCTGCTGCTGCTGTCTGTGCTGCTGCTGCTGCTGTCTGTGCTGCTGCTGCTGCTGTCTGTGCTGCTGTTGCTAGGGCCTGCTTGGTGCTGCCGCTGCTTTCAGGGCCAGTTTGTTGCTGCTGCTGCAACTGCTAAAGCTGCTGCTGCTGCTATTGCCTTTGCTGCTGCTGCCGTTGCTGATTTCGTCCATCAACTGCAGCAGCAGCAGCTACTGCTGCTGTGTCTGTGCCATTTGCTGCTGCTGCAGCAGTTGCTGCTGCTGTGTCTGCCTACGGTGACAGCACTAGCGCTGCAGCTTCTGTTTGCTGCTGTTTCTTCTGCCTCTGTTTCTTCTGCCTCTAATACTCAGTGTGCAGCTGCTGCTGCTGCTGCTGCTGCAGGACCTCTGCTCCTGCTGCTGCTTCTGGATCCTTCGCTGCTGCTGCTGCTGCTGCTGCTGCTGCTGCTGCTGTTTGTTACCTTCATTGACTGAGACCTCGTAAAGCCCGCCTTCTGGGAAGTCCGTCAGCTCCCCCAGCTTCACTTCGCGTCTGCTGCCTGCTGCTGCAACACAGAAGGCAGCAGCAGCAGAGGCCAGTGCAGCACACCTCGGCCCAGCGCGCTGCCGCTGCTGCTGCTGCTGCTGCTGCTGCAGCTGCAGCAGCTGCTGCTGCTGCAGCTGCAAGCCGCCGGACGCTGCGATGCGGGACACCGGCGCAGCGGCGGGCCGCCCGAAGAAGAACTGAGGCTGCTGCTGCTGCTGCTGCCGCTTCGGCTGCCGCTGCTGCTGCTGCAGCACCGGCTGCTGCAGCAGCGGGCAGGAGCCCACTTGGCGGTGCAGCCTCAGCCGCAGCAGCTTCATTTTGTTGCAGCGGGAAGGATTTGTCTTTGCTGCTGTCGCAGGGCTGTTTGGGGCTGGGCACGGGGTGTACGTACACCTGAACGGAGTGCGCCTTCCAGTTTAAAAAAGAGCGCAGCAGACCCTTAACTCGGCCAGGCTGTTTGCTGCGTTGCTGCAGCCGCTGCTGCTGCTGCTGCTGCTGCGGCTGCTGCTACGCCGCCCGAGGGCCCCACTGCTGCGTCGAGGGGATTTGTCTTGTTGCTGCAGCAGCGAAGCTTCTGGCAAAAGTGTGTGTGAATTAATTTTAAAATTCAGTTAAAAGGATATTTAACATCTAGAAAGGTCCAGCTGGCGGAGCTGAACCTGCTGCTGCTGCGCTGCTGCTGCTGCTGCGCTGCTGCTGCTGCCGCCGCCGCCGCTGCTGCAGCAGCTGCTGCTGCTCGCGCGCCCGCTGCTCAGGTGTATGCACGTACAGCCCGAGCTGCTGCTTCTCCCTGCAAGCAGCTGGCACGGCCAGCTAGCTGTGGGGGCTGTGCCCCACAGCTAGCTAGCTGCCCTGTGCAGGTTGCTGCTGCTGCATTTGCTGCAGCTAGCTGCGCGGTTGGAGGCCCCCTTGGCTAGCTAGCTAGGCCTTTGGGGGATCTCCCTAGCTAGCTAGCCCCTCAGGGAAGCTCTCAGACTACTTCAGGGATTTCCTAGGGGCAAGCTGCTGCACTGCTGCTGCAGCAAGCCACGCCAGCTAGCCACGCCAGCTAGCCACGGCTAGCAGGAACTAGCCACGGCAGCTAGCCGTAGATGGCGCCAGCTAGCCAAGCCAGTTAGCCACGGCCAGCACTAGCTAGCGAAGCCCGACAACCATAGCGCGGAGCAGCTAGCCACACCAACTAGCCACGGCCAGCAGCAGCTAGCCACGCCGGCTAGCCACAGCCAGCAGCAGCTAGCCACGGAGATCCTCGCTAGCTGCGGCGGGACTTGGCTAGCTGGGCTGAGGCTTCCCGCTGCACCCATTTGGCAGCTAAAGACAAACACGGGGGTTTGTAGAGCCGTGAGAGGGCGGCGCAGCAGCTAAAAATCCTAAACCCTAAACCCTACTAAACCCTAAACCCTAAACCCTAAACCCTAGACGCCGTAGCTGCAGCTCCTTGCTGCAGTTAAGGGCTGCGAGGGGAAGACCGAACTAGTCTCTCTCTGACTGCCAGAAGCCGAGCAAAAGTAGCAGCAGTAGCAGCAGCTGCTGCAGCAGCAGCAGCTGCTGCTGCAGCAGCAGCAGCAGATGAAACAAACCAGAATATTTATTTTCCTGGGGCCTAAAGCGCTTCGGTTCCTCTTTGCTCTCTCCAGGTGTACATACACCTCAGCTGCCTGCAGCTAGCCAGGCCTGTGCTGCTCAGCTAGCCAAGCAGCTAGCTAGCTAAGAGAAGACATTGCTGCCTAGCTAGCTGGCTTGGGACCTAGCTCGTCGAGCAGCTAGCTAGCTGGCCAGCTAGCTGGCTGGCTAGATAGCTAGCTGGCTAGCTAGCTAGCTACCGAACCAGCTAGCTACCTAGCTAGCTAGCTAGGTAGCTCCCTTGCTACCTCGCTAGCCGGCTAGCTAGCCAGCTAGCTAGCTTGGCA